CATCGACCTGCCCCAGCCCGCCAGCGCGGTCGCCAACTATGTGCCGTTCGTGCGGACGGGAAACCTGCTCCACATCTCCGGCCAGCTCTCGAACGATGCCTCGGGCGGACTGAAGGGCACCGTCGGCGTGGACGTGGATCAGGACGCGGCGGTGCAGGGCGCGCGGCTGTGCGGAATCAATCTGCTGGCCCAGATGAAGGCGGCGCTGGACGGCGACCTCAGCCGGGTCGTGCGGGTGGTCAAACTGGGCGGCTTCGTCCAGGCGGGGCCCGAGTTCACCGCCATTCCCGCCGTGATCAACGGCTGTTCGGACCTGATGGTCGAGGTGTTCGGCGACGCCGGTCGTCACGCGCGCTCGGCCGTGGGCGTTTATCGCCTGCCGCTCGGCTTCGCGGTCGAGGTGGATGCGATCGTCGAGGTGAAGTGAGCGAACCGGCCGAGGTCACGATCCGCGTCCACGACCGGATCGCCGAGATCGGTCGCGATGCCTGGGACGCCTGTGCGGCCCCGACCGGCGATCCGTTCGTCGGCTATGACTTTCTGCACGCCTGCGAGGCCTCGGGCAGCGCGGTTCCGAAACAGGGCTGGGCACCCCGGCACCTGACGCTGCGCGATGCACAGGACGCTGTCATCGGGGCCATGCCGCTGTATCTGAAGGGGCATAGCCAGGGCGAGTACGTCTTCGACCATAGCTGGGCCGACGCCTATCAGCGGGCCGGCGGGCGATATTATCCCAAGCTGCTGGGCGCGGTGCCGTTCACCCCGGCGACGGGTCCGCGCCTCCTGGTCCATCCGTCGATCGAGGTCGCCACGGGACGGGCCGTGCTGATCCAGGGGGCGCTGGGGCTGACGGAGCAGATCGGCGTGTCGTCCCTGCACGTCAACTTTCCCTCCGACGCCGAATGGCGGGTGATGGGCGAGGCCGGGATGCTGCTCCGGCAGGACGTCCAGTTCATCTGGACCAACCAGGGCTATGGCTCCTTCGACGACTTTCTCGCGGCGCTGTCGTCGAACCGCCGCAAGACCATCCGCCGCGAGCGACGCGAGGCCCAGGCGGGGCTGGACATCCGCGTGTTGACCGGGTCGGACCTGACCGAGGATCACTGGGATGCATTCTTCGCCTTCTACATGGATACCGGGTCGCGCAAATGGGGGCGCCCCTATCTGACGCGCGACTTCTTCAGCCGGGTGGGCGAGACGATGGCCGAGCGGATCGCGCTGGTCATGGCGTTCCGGGACGGCGTGCCGATCGCGGCGGCGCTGAACTTCATCGGCCGCGACGCCCTGTACGGTCGCCAATGGGGTACGCTGGAAGACGTGCCCTTCCTGCATTTCGAACTCTGCTACTATCAGGCCATCGAGTTCGCCATCGCGCGGGGGCTGAGCCGGGTCGAGGCAGGGGCGCAGGGCGAGCACAAGATGGCGCGAGGCTATCTCCCGACCCCAGTCCATTCGGCGCATCACATCGTCGACCCCGCGCTGCGGCGACCGGTGGCCGACTATCTGAGGCGTGAGCGGGCCGGGGTCGCGGGCGAAATCGCGGCCATGACGGCGGAGTACAGCCCCTATCGGGACCGGTCGGGCGGCAACTGACGGCGCCGTGGAGGGTTGTGGTCGGATGGGGCCCCACCCCGGCGCCCCGCCGTGGAGGCCTTACCGATGGCCAAGTTCGCTCTGTTCGCCCCGCTGGAAGCCAAACACGGACAGGAGGAGGCCTTGGCCGCCTTCCTGAAACAGGGCGAGGCGATGTCGCGCGAGGAAGCCGGCACCGTCACTTGGTACGCCGTCCGGTTCGGCCCCTCCAGCTTTGCCATCTTCGATACGTTCGACGACGAGGCAGGCCGCCAGGCGCACCTGACCGGCGATATCGCCAAGGCCTTGATGGCCAATGCCGATACGCTTCTGGCCTCGCCGCCGGAGATCAAACAGGCCGAGATTATCGGCCAGAAATGATCAGGCCGCCGAACCGCTGGGCAGGAACGGCGAGAAGGTGATCACGGTAAAGGTGTCCCGGATGTGCGGACGCGTCTGAACCGACTTCGTGACGAAGGTGCCGATGTCCATCTCCTTGGGTAGCTGGAACTTGGCCAGAAGATCGTACTGGCCGGAGGTCGAATAGACCTCGGAGACGTTCTCGACATTGTCCACCATGTCGGCGGCGACGTCGTTGGCGTGGCCCAGCTCGCATTTGATGAAGACGAAGATGGCGGTCATCATGGCGGAAATCTCCCTTGGCGGGATCGATAGCGGATGGATGCGTGACGGGTAAGGCCGATCTGGAGGCCCTGTATAACAACCGCGCCGCCGTGCCCGACCATCCGGCGGTGATGGCGCGCTGGCGGGCGGACGCCGAGGCGCCGCGGAGCGCGCATCCGCTGGAACGGATCGCCTATGGCCCCGGCGCGCGCGAGACGTTGGATTGGTTCAGCGCAGGGGCCGGCGCCCCCGTCGCGGTCTTCATCCACGGGGGTTACTGGCAGGCGCTCGATCCGTCGTGGTTCAGCTGGATCGCGCCGCCGCTGCTGAGCCACGGCATCAGCGTCGTCTTGCCGGCTTATGACCTCTGCCCGGATGTGCGGCTTGGCCAGATCGTGCGGCAGATGCGCGAGGCGACAGAGCTGATCCGGAACCGCGCCGGCCGGCGCCCCGTGGTGACGGGCCATTCGGCGGGCGGTCATCTGGCGGCCTGCCTGTTGAGCGAGGGCCGGGCGTCGGCGGCGTTGGCGATCTCGGGCTTGTTCGACCTGACCCCCTTGCTCTCGACCTCGCTGAACACGGCGCTGGGCCTGGATGCGAACGAGGCCGCGGCCCTGTCTCCGGTTCACTGGCCGGCACCCAATGGTTCGACGCCGGGCGGGACGGTTCTGGACTGCGTCGTCGGCGGCGACGAGACCGCAGCCTTCATCGACCAAAGCG